ACGTCTTCGACCAGTTGTTGTGTGACATGTAACGATGGCGCAGCTACGCGCGAATGGCGATGTGGGCAGTAGCAAACATGCACAAAATCGCGAGAGCATTGAGTGAAGAGTCCGTACCGTGCTAAAATGTTGCAAAGTGGTCGCCGCAGAGCGAAAACTCATGCCAAATGGACACCCTGAAGATGAATGGTCAGCCGGCACCCGGCTTCGTGTATATGGTTGCAAGTGATGCCTGCAACTTGGCTATGTAAGGTATAAGGCTTGGCCTGCCCTCGGATTTTTAACAGGAGCGGCATGTACCGCATCTCGACATGTTGGGAGGTGCAACAGGTTCGACTGACAACGAAATTTGAACAGAGTTCTGTTCAGAAAGGAACAAGCATGGCCGCCCCAACTCCATCCTAGGACATTCGCATGTATCATGGGGAAGCCTGCGCCGCATGGATATATGTCATGCTTGGAGTGTGCGTGCTGTGTGGAAATCGGTGCCATGGATCCTCTGGAGACATGCTTGCATTTACTGCCAGATTTCGGGTTTGGGGTTTAGAGTTTAGGTTTTGGGGTTTGGGGTTTAGGGTGTAGGATGTCAATGCGCGTGTGAACGTGGATGTCGCCTAGGACACGGGTGCTCTGCGGAAACGGATGCAGTCAGGCATGGAGGTCATGGGGTAATGGACGACATCACCACGGATGTCATCATGCTACACGTTGGTTGTGCTCTTTCGCACTTCAGTTTGGAACCTGATCCCAAAGCATGTGCTTAGCACTGGTTTACAAGCTATAAGCATGTCTATAGCGCCTCTTTGGACGGAGAGGGCAGACTTTTCGTGTTTAGGACATAGGATTCATAGGCTCGAAAGATCAACTTTCCACTAACAGACACTGAGCCCTGAATCCCTGATCAATGCCGAACTTAGGGCTTAGAGTGGAGGGCTTGGCGTCTCGGGCCGCAGAAGCAGAGCCCCCAGAAGTACGACCACGCCTTCCACACCTCGGGGGGCATGGGGCATAAGAGAAGCCGAAGCTCTAAAGTCTCGGGTGTCAGGTTGAGGGCACGGCGGGCTTCCTAAAAAGGGGCGCGCTTTTGGCGCGTCATAAAAACCCTAAACCCTAAACCCTAAACCCGAAACCCTAAACCCTAAAACCTAGACTGCAGGGATCCCTGTACCACTTTTGGAGCACGGGGGATGCCCAGCTCATGAAAGGGTAGGTTGGCTTGGGAAGGAATCCCCAAAGTCTGGTTAGGGGTTTGGGTTTAGGGTTTAGGGTTTAGGGTTTAGGGTTTAGGGTTTAGGGTTTAGGGTTTAGGGTTTAGGGTTTAGGGTTTAGGGTTTAGGGTTTAGGGTGAAGCTCCGGAGTTCGCCTCAGAGGTCCGTGGCGAGGCCAGAGTGACAGCCAAGAAGAAGCCGCCAAGAACACGAAACCCAAGCTCTAATCGGTTTAGGGTTTAGGGTTTAGGGTCGCCAAATTCTAAGCCCTAAAACAACTACGCCCCAAGCCCTGACCTCCCACACCTCAGCCTTCAAGCCCTAAGCCCTAAACCATCAAGGAGCCCGTTTACGGACCCACTCCAATTCGGAGAGTTCCCAAACTTTGAGAAACCCCCAGCAGTTGGGGATTCACGGGGGGTTGCGGCGCTTCGGACTTAGGCTTGTGCTGCACAGGGACATGCCGTGGCTATTTGGGTTTAGGGTTTAGGGGTTAGGGCTGAGCAGTTGAGGGTTGTCAGGGCTTCGGGGTTTAGGGCTGAGGGCTATAAGGGCTGAGGCCTTAAGCCGTGTCCACCTCTGTAGGATTGCTTTCCCCCAAGACCACCGCCGTCCCTGACATTGAATGTTCTCAGTCTGGCAGAATATGCTGCCAGGGGCAGCATTCAGCATCGGAGGGGGTGGACCCCAATGCCCGAAAACTAAACCCTCTACAGCCTGTATTTATGGCTTACAGGACTTAGCGACGCCGAAGCATTGCAGCCGCGCGGCCACGGATATCCTGCGGAGCGGATCCTGCACTGATTTGTTTGCGTGACTAGTCCCCCGATCGAAAAAACCCTTCACACCAAGGGACTTAAAAGATCAACATGTCTTGGCAACAACAAGAGAGGGTTTAGGGTTTAGGGTTTAGGGGGGAGGGTTTAGGGTTTAGGGTTTTTTGCGGGGGAATTCGGAGGGGCATCGCTGCACCCTGAACAGTAGGGGAGTCGGCAGGGGATCGCCCCTTTGGTCTTGAGTACGAAGGAGGGGCCCAGGGGCCCCCCACGCCCCTCCGGGTGCAGGCTTTAGGGTTTAGGGTTTAGGATGCTTCAAATCCTAGAAGCCCTAAACCCCTAAACCCTAAACCCCCCTACATCCGAAGAACCAGTGAACAGGCCCAGGAGTCCTCGGCTACTTGCCAGGAGAGGCCGCCCGTGATGGACATGAAGAGGGTGGACCTGGAACTGATTTGATATGTTTGAATCTTCACTTAGAAAACTGATCTTTTGTCTCCTAGCTGGTTGGGTGTCTTGGGCTTTCGGGGGGGGGGGGGGGGGGTGTTGGGTGTTTGGTTGTGTTTGGGTAAAGCTTGGGTCTTTTTGGTTTTTTGGTTTTTTTTGTGTGCTTGGTGGGGGGGGGGTGGGTGGGGGGGGGGGGGGGGTGGGTGGGTGTTGGCGGGTGTAGTTGGGTTGTGGGGGGTTGGTAATGGGTGTTTTTTTTTCGGTTTTTTTTCGGTGTTGAGTGTTTGGGGAGTTGGGTTTTTGGGGGTGTTTGGGCTTTAGGAAGGCTCACCTTTGAAACGAGATCGGTGTTGCAGGTCTCTCATACAGAATACTCCCTACTTCCGGAACCCAGGGGACGGCTTTAGCCACGAGACTGGGTTTTGGGTCTTAGAGCTTAGGGTGTAGGGTTTAGGGCCCGAACCCGAATTTTAAACCCTAAGCCCCCAGTCTCCAAGAATGCTCAAGGCTCCGAACTTCTTCGATGTGTTTTGGGGACGGGGGGGGGGGGGGGGAAACTCTCCGTTTGCTGACGGATCTCTCAACGCGCTTCTTCGCGGCTCAGGGGAGCCGTGTTCCTCACCCTAAACCCTACAGACTCTAAACCTTAAACCCTACACTCTACACCCTACAAACCTAAACTGTCCCAAGAACCTGTCCAACCCCAGAATCCCCCCATTCTAATCAAACAGGCTTCCCCCCCCCCCCAACCCTAAACCCTAAACCCCAAACCCCAAACCCCAAACCCCAAACCCCAAACCCCAAACCCCAAACCCTAAACCCTAAACCCTAAACCCTGCCGTTGCTTTGGAGGGCTGAGCACCGTGCACTGCATCCCCCAGAGAGCCTGGGCAGCTATGGCTCTGCTTGCGAAGGTCTAAATTGCGTGCAGGGCTTATAGGGTTTAGAGGGTTTAGAGGGTCTGTGGGATTTATAGGGTTTATAGGGTTTAGGGTTTATAGGGTTTAGAGGGTCTATGGGATTTATAGGGTTTATAGGGTTTAGGGCTTATAGGGTTTAAAGGGTTTATGGGATTTATATGGTATATACGTGTTTTTGGGAGGGTTGAGAGGATCTATAGGATATAGGCCCTAAACCTCAAAGACTTATATAAACCCTGAACCCCTAAACCCTAAATCCTAGGCGCGAGGCCCTCCAAGAAGTACAAAGGGAATGGGGGAAAGAAGTACCCTATAAAATCCTTTAAAAGGGTCTACACATAGGGGGATATAGGGTGCCTCCTTCCCTCATTCATTCCCTACGACTGAGAACCAGCCAGTTTATTGGTCTCAGGGTGGCTTAGAGGCTGAGGGGTTGGAATTCTCTAATGTTGCACCCGGTTTGTGGGGGCAACCTCTATGATCACAAGTTCCCGGAACTATTCTTCGAGCTCAGCTTGGTGGGGTCGCCCGCGAGGCTATGCTCACAATTCTTCTTGGGGTAGTCTGAGGCACTTTTGCCCCTTTGCTGCTTCCAAAAGCTCAGGTACAGAGCTCTCTCAAGCCCAACTAGCAGTTGGCTCCAGGAGCCGTATAGGGAGCCAAAGCCCGGAACATCCGGAAAGCCAGCTCCATCCAAAACCTTTCTAGGATTGCCGTGAAAAGCCTCTGAAAAATTAATTCCTGAATATGATCCTCTAAAACCCAATAAGGTATAAAATATACAATGTCCCAAGGGGCCGGCCTAGTTTTGGGTTTCAGTACTCTCAAGCTCAAAGCCTTGAAAAGGGTCTGGTCACTCAAGGCCTCTCAGAGCCGACATGAGGCCCCAAACAGCCCTTGCTTCTGAGAGCGGCGAAAAAACCCAAAAAAGACTTTCGTGATGGGTAGGTAGCCCACGGGCCAGCCGGATTTTGCTTTTGCGGGGTTTGTTTGGGGCACTCGATAGACTCACAAGGTGTTGTTGGTGGAGATTCTTGGGGGTCCTGTCAGCTGCAGTCTGAGCTGAGGCCCCTTTGCCCTTTGCTGGTTCAGGTAAGGAGCCCTCTCAGGCTCAGCAAAGCTTCAGGCTCTAAAGCCCTTAGCTTCAGCATGCCTCAGCCCAGGAAGGCATGAAAACTTCAGGCCTTAAGGCCTTAAAAAATTCAAGTTTGAAGGGCCGTGGCTTCAGCCCAACAAAAATGGCTAGACAGCGTTTCAAGCCTTTGGGCCGTCAACGTTTCGGGGCTTGTGGGCCTTGGCTTCAGTCGCTTCAGCCCAGGCTCTCCAGCCCCTAAACTTGTTTGGGGGGTCCCGGCCAAAGCTTCTTGAGGGTCCCAGATTTCAGATCTGTTTGGGGAAGGGGGGGGGGGGGCCTTACGAAGCCGGGTGCCAACGTTAGCTGGAGGATCCTTCTTTTCTGTTCTCTCGCTACCTGGAGGAAGCCTGTTAATGTTTCACCAGAAAAAACACACCCATCTCTGCTGCCCGACCCTGCTTAAGCTGCCGTTGACGTGGCATCTCCACCCGACATGGAACGAGGTGGATGAACTACAGAGTGACATGCGTCATTCATTTTGGCACTTTCGAGCCTGGGTGAGTCTAAACCCGGTTTACGCCTTCAACACGGAGCCCATGCACATTGACAAGCAAGTGCCAAAACCACAGGAAGTCATCGCCTCATGTTTCCTCTTGTGATCTTGGACTATTTCGTACATTGCCCTATACCCTAAACCCTAAACCCAAAACCCTAAACCCAAAACCCTCACCCTAGACCCAAAAACCCTCAACGCTATCTGTTCAGCTTCGAAGAGGCCGCTCTCCTGAATACATGGGACTGAAGGTTTTCAATCACCCGGAATTCCCTGTGAGTCCCACACCCTGAGAAACTCTAAGAGGCCCAACCCCTTAAGCACAAGAAAAAAACTGCCAAACGAGCCATTGAGTGTTTGGGTTAAGGCCCTAAACCCTAAACCCAAAACCCTAAACCCTAAAGGGTTGAGGGAAGTACCCGAACGCCACCCGTCTTGGGCATCTGGCCCCAGAAGTCTTTCAGCGCGATGTCGCTGTCCGTCCACTCCGCATCGGGGGCCTGCGGAAAGGGAGGGTTTAGGGTTTAGGGTTTATAAGGTTTCTAAGCGTAGGTGTATGGTCCGTGCATGTGGTTCAATATTTGTGTTTAGAGGCGTAACTAACCCGCACGAACTCCAAAAGCTCCCCCACCCCCCCCCCCCTCCCCCAAAAAAAAACAAAAAACTGATAAACCTAAACCCTAAACCCTAAACCCTAAACCCTAAACCCTAAACCCTAAACCCTAAACCCTAGACCCTAAACCCTAGACCCTAAACCCTAAACCCTAAACCCTAAACCCTAAACCCTAAGCCCTAACCAACCCTGGATCTCCTGTAGCTCGCGCATTCGCTCCGTAGCCGCCTGGGTCAGTAGAATCGCGAAGACCTCAGAACAAAAAGAATTTGTAGATGAGGGCGTAGACCGAATCCTTCAGAACGGGGGCGGGGGGGGGGGGGGGGGGGGGGGGGGGGGGGGGGGGGGGGGGGGGGGGGGGGGGGGGGGGGGCGGGGGAGTTTTTTGATCATGGAGGCCACCCTGCAAGCACACGTGCAGTACCCTACTGTTGCTGCGTGTTTGTGTGTGTGTGTGTGTGTTCAGCTGATAGGGTTCAGGATATATGGGGTTTAGGCTTTAGGGCCTATAAACCCTATCATTACCGTATACATACGCCGTAAACCCAAACAAGTCTGCAAGATGGACCGACGCCCCAAGCCCCACCGGGAAGAAAACGAACGCTCCGCTTTGCCTCGAATACTACATTCTCACAGGTCTTCTTGTAACCCTTCAACAGCACCAGGCTTCTGCGTTTAGGGGTTTAAAATTTCGGTTTTGGAGTTTGAGGATTCTAAGGTTAACGTACCTTTCTCCAAACATTAATGAAAAGCACACAAGCCCTGTGTCGAAGCTAGACGGAGCAGACACGATGTTAAACCCCCCTTGGAGCTGACGTTCCAACGCCTCCTCATCCTCGAACCACGATCGTCACAACGCTCAACTTTGGGCATCACCCTTGGTGCAGACCGTGCAGGCCCTGCACCACCATCCTGCCTGCACTTCATGTGTCTTAAGTGTGTGTGTGTGTGTGTGTGTGTGTGTGTGTGTGTGTTGAAAGTGCATGAACTAGTTAGAGCTGTGGCCCTGACATACATAATGAGCACCAAGAGGACCATGGCCCACACGAGCGACTTCAGCGTCACCTGAGCTATCCCCGGTTGAGGCTCCTGGCGAGGAGTAAAGAGACATCCCCGAAGGACTCAAACCCTAAACCCTAGACCCACTAAACCCTAAACCCTAAACCCTAAACCCTAAATCCTAAACCCTAAACCCAACACCCTCAACTGGGCAGCACGGGTTCCGGGTGGTCCCCCGGAAGGAGATCAGCCAAGGCTCGAAAACAGAGTAAAGCAGTGTCCGAAGTGCCTCGCGGGGCAGCATCACTTACTAGTTCTGAGAAATATGGACATATCTCCTCTACACATATATATATATATATTAATATATATATATATATATATGTACATGTGTATACATATCGGGCACCAGCCCCGAACTGCACCGTATGAAGCTGAGCTCAAGGATCATGTTTGCTGCTATGAAAACGGCCAGCACACCTGCCATAGACGTCTCTGAGCAGCTTGACTAAACAAGCGATATAGGGGTTTCCGGAATTAGGGTACCTTCTTATGGGTCCTTATAAACAGGGGATCCTACTAAGTCCTACTATTTGGGATCCATATTCGGGGTCCCCTATTTTCGTAAACCCCCATATGCCTAGGCCCCCAGGACAAGCCTTCAACCAGAGCATGAGCTTCGCCAGCCGCGTGACGCGGATGAGACGCGTGATGCGCAGCCTCAGCTGCTTCCGGGTTTAGGGTTGATAGGGTTTAGGGTTTAGGGTTTAGGGTTTAGGGTTTAGGGTTTAGGGTTTAGGGTTTAGGGTTTAGGGTTTAGGCCTCCGGACGGGCAGCAGGAGATGCTGGTGATTGGAGGTTCCCAGTCTTGGTAGCTCAGTCTTCATATTATGGCAACGGCAGCCTTCTTGGTTGGTTACTTTTCAAGCGAACCCAGAACCAAACGAAAAAAGCGCATTTCGGATCGTGTTTGCTTGGTGGCTACGAAAGACCCTAAACTCTACATCCTAGTCTACCCTACGCCCTTCAACAAAAAAACTCAAAACCCCAATTCAACTCCAACTTGGGGCCAAAATGAGCCATCAAAGGGTTTATGGTTCACGTACATTTTTAGGTATAGGGGTCTTAATGAATACAACTTTAGGGTTCAAGGAGGTAAGCCCTGAGCTAAACCCTAAACCCTGAACCCTAAACCCCAAACCCCAAACCCTAAACCCTAAACCCTTCTTCTTCGGATCCACTGCCGCCCTAGAGGCACACGGGCCACGCGCATCGGGGCCAGCGCCGAGGTCGAGGACTCCTGGAAGGCCAGTGCTTTGTTGGAGGGTTTGTAGAGTTTGGGGTTTAGGGTTTAGGGTGTGGGGTTTGGGGTTTAGGGTTTGGGGTTTGGGGTTTGGGGTTTAATGAACAGGCGTTGAATGTTGGACCCTCTTTCATGTGCCGTGCCCCACCTCACCCCCCTCTGCACAGTCGGAAGGCAAGACGAACATTAAACCTTAGATCCTATAGCAAGAAAAGCCTTAGCTTCAGTAGAACCCTTCGCATGCAAGAGCTGCGCATGGGGTTCACCCTAAACCCTAAACCCTAAACCCTAAGCCCTAAACCCTAAACCCTAAGCCCTAAACCCTAAGCCCTAAACCCTAAACCCTAACCCCTAAACCCGAAACCCTAAACCCTAAACCGGGCTGCACCTTGGGCTTCAAGAAGGAGAAGGATGGGTTTCATCTGACCAAAGTGTGGGAGGGCCCCAAAAGCAAGCTGAGCCCGAAATGGGGGTGTACGACATTACGGGACCCCTAACCTAAACCCCCAAATAGTAGGGTTCCCTTTTAGTACGGACCCCAATAAGGCACCCCTATTTTCGGAAAACCCCCCCCAAATGTCTCACAGAGTCTTGGGGGATAAGCGCGTCTTGATGCTACCGCGTGCTTACCAGTGCTAACCAGCGCGTGATCTTGCCGAGCACACCCTAAACCTCCTAAACCCCCCATGCCGAGCCCTGCCCTCGAAAGAGCCCGCAAGCTGGTTGTAGGGCAATTCCCCGATATGCCTGACCCTCAAGCCTGAATCCCAAGTACCCTCAAAAACCCGATAAGACTAGCCCGAATCTTAAACCCTAAACCCTAAACCCCTAACCTCAAAATTGCAGGCGGGCGCGGAAAGCCTAAACCCCATGGCGCCCCTCGCAGGGACGCCTGTAGGGCCCACTGTGCGATGATGTCCACCCATGATGACACCTGAGGTGCAGATGTAGGGGTTTAGGGTTTAGGGTTTATAGTAACCAGCTCCCTTGCGGGGCTACTACCTACAGGCTAAGCTATGGGTCTTTAAGCCAAGAAACCCCTGAAACCTTGAGGGTTGCCTGCCCTGCATCCTAAACCTCCTAAACTCCCCAAACGCCGATACCTTAGAGATTCATCGTCGTAAGGAACCGGGGAATGAAGCGCTAAATGCTTCATGCCATCCCTCAAAGGGTATAGAGGGGTTTGCAAGGTAACCACTACCCCTTACGTACCAAGAACCAGCAAGATGCCCTACAACCCCGTAAACCCTAAATCCCATGTCTAACCCCACCCCCCTACAGGGGCTCCCCCCCCCCCCCCCCCCCCCCCCCCCCCCCCCCCCCTCAGGGCTGAAATTCCAAGAACAACCAAAAGGACACTCGGAAATACTGCTTTGGATTGGCCTGACCTCTGTGATCGAAACCCTAAACCCTAAACCCTAACTCCTAAACCCTAAACCTAAACGCTAGATCCTAAACCCTAAACCCTAAACGCTAGATCCTAAACCCTGAAGCCTCAACCCTAAACCCTAAACCCCAAACCTAAACCCTGAACACTAAACCCTAAACGCTAGATCCTAAACCCCAAAGCCTCAACCCTCAACCCTCAGCTGAGCTCCCGGGCGACGATAACGAAGTCGAGGGTGGACCATCGGAACCTGGACTGTGAGTGGTGCTCTTCGGCTTCTAAGGTTTCAGGGGTTTAGGGTTTAGGGTTTAGGGTATAAGGCTTCAGGGGCTAGGGTTTAGGGCTTAGGGTATCAGGCTTCAGGGGAGGGGTCTCGGGGTTTAAGGGTTGAGGGGTTTAGGGCTTTAAGGGTTTAGGAGTTTTGGCTTAGGGCTTTGCAAGTTTAGGGTTTAGGGGTTTAGGGGTTTTGGGGTTTAGGGTTCAGGGGTTTAAGGGTTTGGGGTTTCGGGGCTTGGGGTTATGGGGTTTTGGGTTTGAGGGGTTCAGGGTTTTCTTTTGGTGTGTTCGGGGTTTGGGGTTGAGGTTTTGGAGGTTTTGGGGTTGAGGGCTGCAGGGGTTTAGGGCTTTGGGGGTTAAAGGGATTCGAGGTTTATTCTGTTGGGGACTTCGGGCCACCCTAAACCCTAAACCCTCAACCCTAAACCCTAAACCTAAACCCTTAACCCCAAACCCTCAACCCTAAACCGTTAACCGTAACCCTAAACCCTAAACCCTACACCCTAAACATTAAACCCGAAACCATAAACCCTAAACCCTAAATCCTAAACCCTAAACCCAAGGTGTCTTGGGGCTTCAGGGCTCTGTGGCTGGGAGGCGCTTCAGCGGCACATAAGGGGATTTGGAGGACTATAGTAGGTAGCCTAAACCCTGTAACCCAAACAGCCCCGCTTTTTGAGCCATAAGGGGATTTGGGCCAAAACCATGTACACCCTACCTGCTCCTCTTTTTGAGCTCGGGGGCAGGCTGGTTACTTTCGGGTGCATGTGTGGTACAGCTGGGTCGCATCTCCGCGTCAGTATACAGGTGCACCCCGTACGCGACAATTCGAAGGAAGAGCTCCACCGTGAAGATCACAGCATACCTCAGAGGCAGGGCTCGAGCAAGATGGGCCCCATTTGGTTATTCTTGGTGTCATAGACACACAACGCACTAGAGTAGAATGCCAAGAGTTTTCGACAACTCACCGTGTATGCCCTAGCAGAATTCTGTAATGAGACACCCCCCCCCCTCCCCTAAACCCTAAACCCTAATTACTAATTTCTAAACCCTAAACCCTAAACCCTAGACCCTAAACCCTAAACCCTAAACCCCAAATAGGTGGGCGCCTCTGCAGGGCGAAACCACACCTGCTTCTGAGGGCGCCCTAAGCCCTAAACCCAAAACCCTAGACCCTAAACTCCCCAAAGGCTGCTGGGTGCATCCGGGCGACACGAGGTGCATCCACTGATACCAGGCCTCAACGCCAGGTTCTTTACGGGAAGTTCGGGCCCTGTGTTTTGCTTCGGGGGTCGAGGCCGAAGGAATAGGAAGGGTTTAGGGTTTAGGGTTTAGGGTTTAGGGTTTAGGGTTTAGGGTTTAGGGTTTAGGGTTGAGGGTTGAGGGTTTAGGGTTTAGGGTTTCGGGTTTAGGCTCCGAAAAGCGCGCCTCGGCGAGGTTTTGGGGAAGAGATCGCGTGAGCAGGACATGCTGCGCTTGCGCGAGAAGCACACACCCTAAACCCTTAACCCTCAACAAAAACAGCCTGAACCCTAAACCCTAAACCCTAAACCCTAAACCCTAAACCCTAAACCCTAAACCCTAAACCCTAAACCCTAAACCCTAAACCCTACCCCACCCCCCACCTAAAACTAACATCTGAAACCCAGAGCCACATAACAATGAGCCGCAAGACGTCCTTCAAACTGGGGCGCCGGGAATCTGGGCTTCACGCGACACCCTTCCGCATTGTTTGCAGAACCCTCAACATGGTTCTAGCTACAAACCCGAAACCCTAAACAGCCTATCTCGCAAAAAAAGGCTAGAAACAAAACGAGACCCCTTGGAGCTTCCTGCAACTTCTGAAGCCCATCTAAAGCTTAATGAGTTTGGGGTTTAGGCTTCGGGTTTAGGGCTTAGGGGTAGAACTAAGCCCTAAACTCCCCTAAACCCGAAAACCTAAACCTTAAACCCTAAACCCTAAACCCTAAACCCTAAACCCTAAACCCTAAACCCTAAACCCTAAACCGCAGGGTGGGACGCGATGAAAGAAAGGCCGTTGGTCCGCACACGCCCCACCCTGAAGTCCCAGGTTTAGAAGCTCCTTGAAGACCACAAACAACCCTAAGAACCCTAAAGGCCCTGAAGCAACCCTAAACCCTAAACCCCAAACCCCAAGCCCCAAACCCTGAACCCTAAACCCTAACCTCAAAAAGGCCTCAAAAATGCCCCAAACAGCCTTGAGACCAAGTGGCCGGTGGAACATCCAATGGGTTCTGGGCCACGTGCTCCACCTGAGGAAAGGCAAATTTCATGAGCCTGGTTCAGGGGGTACTATACTTAAACATGGGGTCTAGGGTTTAGGGTTCAGGGGGTACTATAGGGGCCTGAAAAATAGGGTTTAGGGTTTAGGGTTAAGGGTTAAGGGTTTAGGGTTTAGGGTTTGGGGGTACTATAGGGGCCTTAACCTCGGGGCTGGGTAGTTAACCGCTAACTTTTTGGTTATGTACATACAGACCTCTTACAAAAACGGTTAACCTTCTTCGAGTAAGGGATTCAGTCCCTGAGAAATGATGAGAATTAGAATATATATATATATATATATATTTATTTATTTATTTCTGTATTTATTTATTCATTTTTTGTAAGACATTTCTTTGGGGGGGTTGTTTGTGTATAATTATGAAGGCACCAGAAGGGAATACTACTCGTAATTATTCCGACCACTATATGAGTTAGGGTCGAGAGGCTTAGTGTTTATGGTTGAGAGGTTTAGGGTTGAGCGCTGATAGGTGTAGGGTATTGAGGTTTAGGGTTGAGGCTTGATAGGTTTAAAGGGTTTAAAGGGTTGAGAGGTTTAGGGTGTACGCCGGGTCAAAGAAAATCTCTACAACCATCAAACAAGGGCGGAAACTCCCCAAACAACAATCTTCTAACAGAAACGAAAAAAACCAATACTGATACAGACTGATGAGAATCCCAAACCTACGCCCTAAACCCTAAACCCTAAACCCTAAACCCTAAACCCTAAACCCTAAACCCTAAACCCTAAACCCTAAACCCTAAACCCTACATAGCAATAACAAACATGACTTTTGATAAACAACGCAATACGGAGAAGCAAAATACACCCTAGACTACCGCCTCGAGGCCGATGATCGCGGCATTGGAGGCAACCAGCCAGCCGACCAGCACCTTAAGGGTTGAGGGTTGAGGGTTTTAGGGTTTAGGGCTGTAGGGCTTTAGGGTTTGGGGTTTTGGGGTTTAGGGTTTTCGGGTTTAGGGTTTAGGGCTTTAGGGCTTTAGGGCTTTAGGGCTTTAGGGTTTAGGGCTTTAGGGCTTTAGGGCTTTAGGGCTTTAGGGCTTTAGGGCTTTAGGGCTTTAGGGCTTTAGGGCTTTCGGGCTTTAGGGCTTTAGGGCTTTGGGGCTTTAGGGCTTTAGGGCTTTAGGGCTTTAGGGCTTTAGGGCTTTAGGGCTTTAGGGCTTTAGGGCTTTGGGGCTTTAGGGCTTGAGGGTTTTAGGGCTTTAGGGATTTAGGGCTTTAGGGCTTTAGGGCTTTAGGGTTTTAGGGCTTTAGGGATTTAGGGCTTTATGGCTTTAGGGCTTTAGGGCTTTTGGGGTTTTAGGGCTTTAGGGTTTGGGGTTTTAGGGCTTTAGGGCTTTAGGGCTTTACGGCTTTATGGCTTTAGGGCTTTTGGGGTTTTAGGGCTTTAGGGATTTAGGGCTTTGGGGTTTTAGGGTTTTAGGGTATGGAGTTTGATTGTGGGGCTATTGGGGTGACTGTGGCCCTTGAGGGAAGCCCAAGAGCCCAAAAGCCTCGAAACCCCCCCAAAACTCCAAAACCCCCACAACCCCCAAAAACCCCCAAAACCCCCCAAAACCCCCCAAAACCCCCCCAAAACCCCAAAACCCCACAGCCCCAAAACCCCAAAACCCCCAAACCACCAAACCCCCAAAAAGCAACAACCCCCGAAAGCTCCCCCTCCGAAGCACTCTTCAAGGGGCCCTAAACCTCAAACGTCCTAAACCCTAGACTACGTACCCTAAACCCTAAACCCTAAACCCTAAACCCTCTTCTGTGGCGCGCCTCGAACTGCGGGGAGCCCAAACAGCGCCGCAGGCGGTAGCGCAAGCGCGCCAGGCGCCCCAGGGGGGGGCCTGGCTTTTTTGGGGGCAGGGCTGTTGGGTGGTTAGGGTTTAGGGAGAAGGGATTTGGGGTTTAGGGTTTGGGGTTTAGGCTTGGGGGCCCCTGAAATTGTGCAGAAAGGGTTTATGTTTACTTTTTAAATTTACCTGTGGGTTTCATCGCAGGGTTTCTGCTTTCGCGCTTCGAGTTTCGGAGCTCAGAATAGCTCACGCTGAAAAATGGTCCGGAGCAGTGCCGCGCCCGGGAGGCTCCAGAGTCAGGAAGGTTTAGGGTTTAGGGTTTATAGGGTTCAGGGTTCAGGGTTCAGGGTTTAGGGTTTAGGGTTTAGGGTTTAGGGTTTAGGGTTTAGGGTTTCGGGTTTCGGGTTTCGGGTTTAGGAGCCATTGCTCCTGGCAGATTCCCACATCAGCTCTGTGGATACAGGCCAGCCTACTTCTGAGGGCGGCGCCGAAAATGCAAGAAGCCTTCTGTGGGGAATCGATAAGCAAAAGAATGGTCGCGTAGGGCTTAGTATAGGGTTTAGGGTCTAGGGTTTTGCATAGAGGGATTCGATAAGTTCAGCTCCCTCTCGTAGGATAGGTAGCAACGATCCCCGGGAGACAACCCAACCCATTCCATATTGGCCCCCACACAACTTTCGGAAGAACGTGTAAAGGATTGCCAGAGGTCTTCGAACCCGCCTGTCTCCATTTATGAGGACTGGCGGATTAATCCTACAGGCCTTCAACCCTCCAAAAACCCGTAGACCCCCAAACCCTCAACCCCTGAAGCTATTGCAACCCCAAACCTTGTCCAAAATGTGCTGACCCGCCCCCTGAGCCCTAACCCCAAACCCTAAACCCTGAACCCTAAACCCTAAACCCTAAACCCCAAACCCGAAAGCCCAAACCCTAAACCCCAAACCCTAAACCCAATCCCTGAAACCCTTCGCCTAGCGGGGCGCTGTCTTCGCCATCCGCAGCCAGAGACCGCTCGGCAGCAATGTTCCGCGCACGCTCCTGCACCCGCGCAGGGGTGCGGGTTGGGGTTTTTGGGGTTTGGGGTTTGGGGTTTGGGGATTGGGGTTTAGGGTTTAGGGTTTAGGGTTTAGGGTTTAGGGTTTAGGGTTTAGGGTTTAGGGTGAAGGGGAGGTCGGGAAAGAAGGGCCCAATTCGTGGGATGGGTTGTGGGGCTTAGGGTTAGGGATCGGTTTAGTTCGGAAATCAGAGGTTCAGGGCTGAAGGGTGGTTTGGCTTTTTGACCCCTAAACCCTAAACCCTAAACCCTAAACCCTAAACCCTAAACCCTAAACCCTAAACCCTAAACCCTAAACCCTAAACCCTAAACCCTAAACCCTAGGGCTTGAGATTGTGGGGTACCTTGCATGAAAACGACCTCCGGAGCGAATGGGCACTGTACGAGCGTGCCTAGAACGACCGGAAACAAAGGCCGTCATTAACCACCAAGCACGAAGGAACCCTAAACCCTAAACCCTAAACCCTAAACATCCTAAACCCTAAACCCTAAACCCCAAACATACGACCATTGACATCGCGCAGGCTGCTGAAGACAAAGAATTGCAGTCCTTGCCCCCCTCCCCCCTCCCTTCCCTTGCAAGGCCTCAGGGCGCTAGGGTTCTCGGAAGAGATGCTGGTGTCTAGTCCGCCTATGGCGATAATTAAGGTTCACCAACTTAGAACCTAAGCCTTGCAGGGTGCGCGTCGAATTTTGGGATCTTGTGTATAATGCTTTTTCGGGTTCAGGTTTAGGGTTTAGGGTTTAGGGTTTTACGGTTTAGGGTTTTAGGGTTTCGGGTTTAGGGTTGAAGGTTTAGGGGTTTAGGGTTCAGGGTTGAGGGCGCATGGGCCTTCATGGCTTCGAATTCGTCGCCTTCGTGCGCAAAGAGCCTTTGCCCGGGGAAGCAAGGCTTGGGGAAGGGGGGCCCGAGACTCCAAGCACTCAGGGTTTAGGGTTTAGGGTTTAGGGTCTAGGGTCTAGGGTCTAGGGACCCCACGCCCCGAAAACTACAGGCAGGACCCCTAAAACATCTTCTAAGCCCACGAGAAACCCCAAACCAAAAGGCCCTCAAGCCCTAAACCCTGAACATCCCGGAGCCCTGAGTCCCCTCATTCGGATTTTTGGGCTTTGATGGGGGCTACCCCCCCCCCCCTTTCTTGAACTCTTGTCTGCTTGGGTTTAGGTGGTATACAAGGTGTTGGTGAAGGAGGGCCTTCGGAGGGTAGGGAAGAGACGTCCCAGTGTGTTAAGGTTTCGAGGCTCCGAGCGGCTGCTTGTGAAAACAGAGGCCCCGAAACCCTGTAGACCCGAAGAGCAAAGCACTTCCCGTTGAGCACCCTGTCTAACCCAGCAACCCCTGCAGCCCTAAACCCGAAAAACCCGGAAAGGGGGGAGGGTTACAGGACTTGGGCTTTGGGGCTTTAGGGGCAGGCAGGTGGGGGTGGGCTTGGTTTTGTTGAGTTTTGGACTTGGGTGTTCACCCCCAAACCCCCCTCGAAAACCCCCTGAAGCCCCTAAGACCCTGTACCCTAAACTTCCTTAGACTAACGGAGGCCCAGAGTTCTTGATTTCTTGCGCTGCCCCACCTCACCGCCTTCATATCCCCTTACGAAGGCCTTCCCCGAATTCGGGGATCCCCAAACCCTAAACCCTAAACCCTAAACCCTAACCCCTAAAACTCTTTAGTCGCAGCCAGGAGTCGTCTTCTTCTTCTTGTCGCTCTTGTGTGCTTTCTGGCAGGAGGGGTCAAAGGCGCTGAGGACTCTTTGGGATACAGAATATTCGCGGGGGGGTGGGGGGGCGCCCTAAGTGCAGTTCTCCGGGTTCAGGGAGGGTGTAAGGTGTGTTGACTCTAAACCCGAAACCCTAGATCCCTGAATACCTAAGTGCATTTTGGTCCTTAACTTGGCATCCCTTGAACTTGGGATTTGGGGAATTTAGGCTTTAGGGCCTATGATATAATGGTTTGGGGGTAGAGGTGACAAAGATCCCAAACATGGATCTAGAGTCAGTTGAAGCTCGCCAGCCCCCCCCCCCCCCCCAATTTCTCCAACAAAGAGGACTCTCCATCCGGCACGGTGTAGGATTGAGGCTGGAGCTACACCGGACCGCGATCGGAACTGGTTGTCGGAGCTTGGATTTGATTTGGGTTGCTTCGTGGAGAGTTCGAAGTCCCAATACCTCCAAGCCTCCGGCTTACATGGCGTGGGGCTTGCGGCGTCAGGCTGCGGTTTTGCAGTAGAGTTTAGGGGCCAATCTAGCTGAGGTTAATATCGCGAGCGCGGCTTCCGAAAAGCTCCGAACCCCCAAAAAAGACCCCTAAACCCTAAACCCCTAAACCCCTACACCCCTAAACCCCTAAACCCCTAAACCCCTAAACCCCTAAACCCCTAAACCCCTAAACCCCTAAACCCCTAAACCCCTAAAACCCTAAACCCCGAAACCCCTAAACCCCTAAACCCCTAAACCCCTAAACCCCTAAATCCCTAAATCCCTAAATCCGTAGATCCCTAAATCCCTGAATCCCTAAACCCCTAAACCCCTAAATCCCTTAATCCCCAAATCCCTAAATCCCTAGATCCCTAAATCCCTAAATCCCAAAATCCCAAAATCCCGAAATCCCAAAATCCAAAAAAAAACAACTCCCTAAATCCCTAAATCCCTAAATCCCCATGATCCCTAGATCGCTAGATCCCTAAATCCCTAAATCCCTAAATCCCTAAAACCCTAAATCCCTAAATCCCTAAATCCCTAAACCCTAAACCCTATAAACCCTAAACCCTAAACCCTGAACCCTGAACCCTAAACCCTAAACAAAAAAGCCCTAAACCCCTAAACCCCTAAATCCCTAAATCCCTAAATCCGTAGATCCCTAAATCCCTGAATCCCTAAACCCCTAAACCCCTAAATCCCTGAATCCCTTAATCCCCAAATCCCTAAATCCCTAGATCCCTAAATCCCTAAATCCCAAAATCCCAAAATCCCGAAATCCCAAAATCAAAAAAAAAACAACTCCCTAAATCCCTAAATCCCCAAATCCCCATGATCCCTAGATCCCTAGATCCCTAAATCCCTAAATCCCTAAAACCCTAAATCCCTAAAACCCTAAATCCCTAAACCCTAAATCCCTAAACCCTAAATCCCTAAACCCTGAACCCTAAACCCTGAACCCTAAACCCTAAACAAAAAAGCCCCCTGCCTCTTTCTTGGGCTTGGAGGAGGACCTGGAGGTCCGTGCGTGCTCCAGGTCCTTTGACAAGTCGTTTGGGGTTTAGAGTTGAATTTAAGGTTTAGGGTTTGGAGTGTTGGAGTTTAGGGGGTTCGTTTCGGCGGTATGCGGATGCGGCTCGGTCCGGAGGGTAGACTTCAGGGTAATGCTCTGGTGCTAGAAACAATCAGGTACAGCACCCAAAATTGCAGGATTCCACACCCTCAGTTCTAGCGTCCCGCCCTCGCTTCGACCTTTGCAGGTCAGGGTTTCTTCGCTTTCTGAACGTGTGGGTTTCATGCAGGTCTGTTCGATGAACTGTATAGACCCGATCACGCCTAAAAGCCTATAACCCGAAATCCTACACCCTATTCTCCGCTTTTTTCGTAAAGGGGGGGGGGGGGGTTGGAGATCTGAAGGTTGAGGAGTTTGAGCTACGTCCCCTAAGTTTTGAAATGCAAAGCTTAAGAGCTTGTTGGGGTTTAGGGGGTCTCAGGGTGGGATTTCGGGTTGTTGGTGGTGTGTAGGGCTTTAGGGGATAGAGTCCTAAATCGGGGCAGCACAAGACGCCTCGGGAAGGCGGCTGCCTGTGCTGATGCCCCGGGACCAGAGGTCTGCCTCTGAACTCAAGGCTTTCGGATTTAGGGTTTCATTAGGGTTTAGGGCTTAAGGTTTAGGGTTAGGGTTTAGGGCTTAGGGTTTAGGGTTTCGGGTTTAGGGTTTCGGGTTTAGGCTTTAGGCTTTAGGACTTGGGGTGCAGGGGTTAGGGGTAAGGGGTTAGGGTTTAGGGAATAAGGTTTAGTCTAGGGTTTAGGGTTTAGGCTTTACACGGGGAATAGGAGCATGCAAACTGAGGATGTAGGGCTTGTAGGGCTCAGGTTTAACGGCCGATTTCAAGGCGGTGAACAGGCTCAATTGAAGAACTGACGGGGTGTGGGCTTAAGGCTAAGGGGTTAGGCTTCAGCGCCAGATGTGGATTGAACCACTACACTAAGTCAATGAGGGAGTCCAAGAACGCCCTACGCCCTTTTGACCCTAAGTCCGCAAACCCTGAACCCTCAAACCCCCTCTCTACACAAACCTCACCCTGCAAGCCATTCAGCCCTGCAAACGCTACGCAATTGCACCCTATACCGTTTCCGAAGTAGGGGAACCACCTTGGGGTCCTTATTGGAAGGGGATCCTACTATTTGGAGGGTCTACATTGGGGGTACCCCAAATCGGCGCAGAAGGTGCCTCAGGAAGGCGGCTGCCTGTGCTGATGCCGCGGGTCCAGAGGTCCGCCTCCGAACTCAAGGCTTTCGGGTTTAGCAGGAGTTTGTATTGAAGGCAAGAGCTCTTTAATGGACAGTACGTCGGTTTTATAGGCGACTCCCAACGGTTCTTTACATGGAGCGATTCTTTGTAGTGGAAACTCTGTGGAAAGGTCTTCTCAACAATGACTTGGGAACTCCATCCATCAAAACCCATAGGAATTATTTGTTTCAGTGAAAGCGCATGTGGGTTCGATGCAATCATGATCAACATAGTGCGTGGTGGTTCGACCTGTGCGCAAACCGTGCGGCCAAAATTGGTTCGACAAACCGCAAAACGAAGTTCGACGATCCATTGCATTGCCCTATTAGTGGAAAGTTCGAATCAATGGCAGGTCCCACCACGAACGCCCTCGAACCCATTGGCGCTTTGCAAACGCTCTTGCACAAACCTTCCCGAACCTAAACATGTAAACCGTAGGCCCGCAGCCTGTTTTGTACATGCCTTAACGTTAATGGGTCTTCCCTTGGTGATGAATAGAATTTTCCGAATGTTCGGAAACACAGTGGAGCTCCCATATCAATTCGGCCTCAATGGAAATTCTCTGGGAATTCTATTGGCTTGTCATATGGTTTGGAACAATAACAGCAAAGTTAAACCGGGACCCTCACTAAGTCAGGTTAAAGGAGTTTACCGCTACATTGACTTGCTTGTTTGTGGCTCTGGCTACCCAGATCAAGCCGACAAGACGACACCAATCTATGTAGGAATGCTCTCCTGCGTAGGAACACCCGAAACGCTGTATTGCCGTGGAAGGCAACATAAAACCTAAATCCGAAAACCTGACTGCCTACACGAAATAGACAGGGCACGTAGGTCTAAGGTTCAGGGTTCAGGGCAAAAGCCACCAACCCCGTAGAACCCTAAGATACTAAGCCCTTAAAACCCTAAACCCTAAACCCTAAACCCTAAACCCCAAACCCCAAACCCTAAACCTTACCCACAAGCCCCACCCAAAGGCTCAAGGCACCTCCTCAATCTGGTTTATGATGTGGCTCACGCGGACGGAACGGCGGCGTAATGAAGCCATCTGCATCTGATCCTGTGATGTGTTCATCTCGGTAGGGGGTTTAGGGTTTAGGGTTTAGGGTTTGGGGTTTGGGGTTTGGGGGTTTAGGGTTTTGGGTTTTGGGTTCAGGGTTTAGGGTTTGGGGTTGAGGGTTTAGGGTTGAGCGTTTTGTGCAGAGGGCTTCGGGCTTAGGGGCTCCCATGGGTGGGTTGTTGTTTGGAGTTTAGGGTGTACGCGCATCATGTAAACGAACGAGCGAAGAAGCTCGCCGAACCTTGAGACCTAAGCCTATGAAACCCAAAACCCGAGACCCTAAATCCAAAACCCTAAGCCCTGAGCCCGAATCCCTAAACCCTGCCTAACGATGCGAGCGGTGATGACTGTCTTGTGTGTCAAGCTGCCCCACTCTGGACCCCAAAGGCCCATCCGTCCAACCTACGCCAACCCCGCAAGAACCGCAGCCCTAAACCCTAAACCCAAAACCCCAAATCCGAAGCCCTAAACTCTAAACCCAAACTTAAACCCTAAACCCTAAACCCTAAACCCTAAACCCTAAACCCTAAACCCTAAACCCTAAACCCTAAAACCTAAACCCTAAACCCTAAACCCTAAACCCTAAACCCTAAACCCTAAACCCTAAACCCTAAACCCTAAACCCTAAACCCTAAACCCTAAACCCTAAACCCTAAACCCTAAACCCTAAACCCCAAAACCCGAAACTCTAAACCATGTTAAGATCAGGCTACCTGCATCTCGTAGAGCTCCCGTGAGGAGGCAGAGACGCGGCGCTCGAACTGCGGCAGCTGTTTAGGGTTTAGGGTTTAGGGTTTAGGGTTTAGGGTTTAGGGTTTAGGGTTTAGGGTTAGGACTTAGGGTTTCGGGTAGCAGGGTGGCCCACTGGCGCTACAGAGTAAAAGGACCGCTTAGGGCTTAGGGTTTAGGGTTTAGGGTTCAGGGTTGGGATTTGAACTTCATGTTGCTTCCGACGCCTGCCCAAGCCGGACCGTGTGGGCACAAAACCTCTAAAGCCCTATGATGGGAAACCAAAACCCAAAACCCTACATTAAACCTAAACCCTATATATACCCTATATATACCCTATATAAACCCTATAAACACCCTCCTATATCAACCCTATGTAAACCCTATATAAACCCTACTCCCTACATAACCCTACAGCGCCAGAGGGCACTTGAAAAACCTCTTTGCCATTGCTTTTTGGCCTCGGGTTCAGGGTTGAGTTTGTAGAGTTTCGGTTCATGGGTTGCAGGAATACCCGACGTAGCCGGCTGCCTAAAGCCAAACCCTATACATCCTAAGGCCACCCCCTTCCCCCCCCCGCACAACAACAAGAGTAATCAACCATAAACTCAGACTCTATAAATGACGAAGCCAGCCGAGAGTTTAGGGGATTTAGGCCTTAGGAAGCTTATATACGGTCTACGGGGTGGCGATTTCCACAGTCCCCCAAAATTATATATAACTAGGGCTCCATATCTGAACACTAAATCGAATTAACAATAATCCCAAATCGATACCTAGTTTAGGAATTTAGGGAAAAGGGTTTAGGGTTTAGGGTTGAAGGCTCCAAGCGATCCTCACCTTCTCGTCGCATCTGTCGCTTGGTCGCGGGAACTCAATCGGCTGAGCCACCTGCCAAATCTTGCTTCCCCAAACCCCAAAAGGGCTTGGGGTTTAGGGTTTAGGGTTTAGGCGTTAGGGGTTAGGGTTTACGATGATTTAGGGTTTAGGGGGTTTAGGGAAACACAAACCCACCGCAAGCCTAAGCAACAGAATGGCACCAAGACATGCAAAACTCCCTGACAGCCCGACAGACACGAATCTCTGGAACCCCTAACAAAAGCACGTATGTGGGCTTTAGGGTCTATCTTTGGGTCTATATATACACACACGTATATATATATATATATATATATATGCATACATATATATATATTATATATATATATATTTAATGCTTGGATCTGGGGATGTCGTAAGGCATGAAGCCTCGGTCGGTATTCCGTCGCCGCTGGGCAAAAGGTTGAAAAAGTGGTGCTAAAGAAACAGAAGCCCTCCTGCCATCCTGGACCTGAGGGTTTAGGGTTTAGGGTTTAGGGTTTAGGGTTTAGGGTTTAGGGTGTTTCGGGCAGGGTTGAAGTTGTTGTAAGAATTTCGGGCCTCCTCCTACCGCCCGCACTGCAGAGTGACCTCTTAAGCCACTTCTTGCCATGCCGGTGCACTCCAATGAAGCACAGAAACAAGAATGCAGTCTGCAAAGCCGGGTCTCGACGGGTCGCGGTACGTCTCCCCCCAAGGACTGGAACCCTAAACCTAAACCTAAACCTTACAACCGTTCCCTCCTCCTCTGCCCCCGTCACCTGCTGCGAGCCGGCAGGCGACGTCTCAGCGCTGGTCTCCAATGGCTGTCGTATCTGGGAGAGCCAAAAGGGTTTAGGGTTTAGGGTTCAGGGTACTTGCGCCCTCTCACTCACGTTGGAACCAATGGGTGTCCAGAAACTGTTGGGGGGAAAATTCCCAAGCTGAGCAGAGACCTCTACACCCTAAACCCTAAACCCTACACCCTATACCCTAAACCCTAAACCCTAAACCCTCTTATGAAACCCAAATACAAGATCCACGCCTCGGCCTCCTCCACGAAGGAGATTTTCTTGGCCTGGCCCAAGGTGTTTCTGCGGTCTTAGGGTTGCAGGGTTTAGGGTTTAGGGTTTAGGGTTTAGGGTTTAGGGTTGCAGGGTTTAGGGTTTAGGGTGCAGGGTTCTCGGGCCCTCAACCCTAAATAGACTCTGAGAACCCTCAACCCTCAAGCATCAACACTAACCCTAACCCCTAACCCCTAAACACGAAACCCTAAACCCTAAACCCTAAACCCTAAACCCTAAACCCCAAACTCAACCCTGAGAACAGAAAACCAAAAAGAAGCCGGGCCTGGCTGCCATTGGAGCTCTTGTTCTCGGCATCCTGCACCACCGTTTCTGAAAAAACCCAGAAAGTCGGAGCTCAACTCAACCTAAACCCTAAACCCTAAACCCTAAACCCTAAACCCTAAACCCTAAACCCTAAACCCTAAACCCTAAACCCTAAACCCTAAACCCTAAACCCTCAACCCTAACCTTACACCCCCCAAAAAAAGAAACAAAACCTATACACCCTTTTTGCCAAGGGCAACTAGGAACCCTGCGCCGCTACCGAAGGCAGGAACTACAGTACTTGGTGCGGGGTTTGGGGTTTAGGGTTTAGGGCTTATAGGGTTTACTCGGGTTTAAAGGGTTAGCGGTTTAGGGTTTAGGGTTTAGGGTTTAAAGGGTAAAGGGTTTAGGGTTTAGGGTTTAGGGCTAGGCTCCCCCCCCCCCCCGCCCCTGCGAGAGGGCCTCCCCACTGCTGCGCCAACTGCAGCTCAGCTCGCTGGTGACGTTGCTGGCCTCCGAGGAGCCTTGCTCCAGCAACCTCGGCCCCATCTGGGTGTTTAGGGTTTAGGGTTTAGGGTTTAGGGCTAGGGTTTAGGGTTTGGGGTTTAGGGTTTGGGGTTTAGGGTTCAGGGTTTAGGGTTTAGGGCTTGAGGTTGAGGGTTTAGGGTTGACCCTCAACCCTAAACCCTTGAGGGCTTCGGGCTCTGCCTTTAAGGGGCTTCTGGCTGAAGGCTTTGATCAGAATCAGGCTGCTGAGGTTCGGAGTTCAGTCTTGAAGCATATCAGGGATGTTCCCTACTACGAACGTAAGCCCTAGCTTCTGAAGCCCCAAAGCTTGTCAAGGGTGGGACTTAAGAAGTCGATATCAGGGCTCGCATCTCCACAGCCCGAAGACACATCCCTGAACCTTCGGTGCTGGCGGAGTTTACTAGGGGGGGGAGAGAGGGGGCAGGATGTGGGAAAATGTTGAATTTACTGGGGCTTGGCGGGGGGGCTTTCAAGGTGACCTAGTCAGCATCCGCACACTACCCCGCACAAAGTTGTTGGAGTCTAAGGTGTAGAGCTTAGACTGTGTCAGCTTGTGGTCGTCTCGAGAAAAAAAGCTTCTGCGCATGTCATACCTGGGTTGTTCTCTACATTCCAGGGCTCCCCCGTTTCTTGGAGGATCATTCTAAACGGACCGGCTGCTTTAAAGGCATTCAACAGCGGACCCTACTCAATGTAGGTAGACCAAACAGTCAGCAGAGTGCAAGCTTTAGGCCCCAGTGGTGCCACCCGAGCGGCAAGTTCTGCATCTGCGTGCGCGGGGAGAGTGGGCCCTTCGGCGACGCCTTATTGGAAAAACTCCCTAAGGTGTGGACAGCACGGACTGGGAGGTTCCCCCTTATACTAATAGTTCCTAAGAGTCCTTAATAGTTAGGGACTCTAGTACCCCCCCCCCCCCCCCGACTATTATCCATATTCAGGGCTGCTGGTAGAAGGGGGAACATCCCAAACGGTACAGTCTAAGAACCCGGCACCCTCATGCTGAACCCTGAATTGTTCGGGATGACTCCATTGATGTCGTCCCACCGAAGTGTGTCAACTTCTTTCGGGTCATGCGACAATTCGGCAATGCACCACTCTCAACAAAGTCAAAAAAAACCAAAAATCGCAACTCGGAGAAAAAAAACCTAACTTGGCGAGGGGAGGGGGAGGGACGGGGGGTTGGGGGGGTGGTACCCCAACCCGGGAACAGCATAACAAAGCCGCAAACCGCACCATGGAGTCTGAGGCATCCGGCCGGTGCTGTCAACCTGCCAACGAGGGCTCGTGTCTGTTGCGCATAGAGGGCCCCCCCCTCCCCCCAACCTCCTCCCCA